TGAATATGAGTGAGGATTTGAGAAAAGAGTAGCTTCAATTCAAAGATATTGAAAGGAGCAAAATAAGAAGCTTATGAAGAAGCAATGGAGAAGATTTAAATCTAAGATGATATTCAAACTCTTCACTGTTGATGCTTTATTAGATAATATCTTTTCAACTAGAGTAATGATAGACAGTGAATGTAATGTCTATGATCTTATTTCTCAATTCTACATTAACAAGCATAAGCTTCTGTGTATTGAAATTCCCTCTATTAAAATGATCAGCTTTGAAAACTTTATGATACTCTCCATGAGCATGATGACTGGCATTCAAATTGATATAGATGATCACATAACTGAACAGGCCTTTCTCTATGTGGTGAATAGATTATATGGTCATGATATGTATCTAGGTGACCTCTGGCTAGCCCAGCAAAAGATGACCGTGATCCCTCATCAAAGAATTATGAGATTTGAAGAGAGTGGCATAGAGATAGAGCTTAGTTCAAATGCAAAAGCTGATGTGATTCTCATCTCTGTCATAAGCTTCTCTAGATTTATGAGCACTCAAGAGAAGTGAAACATTGAGATCTTTGCTATCAGTTTGACTGATATTCAAAAGACTCTAGAAGTGAAATCAAAGATTGACTCTAAAGAAAAGCTGCTTGAACATTATCATGAGTTTTTGAATATATTTGATAAAGAAGCCACTGACACTCTACCTCCACTTCATGGCTCAGATAGAGATCATAGAATTGAACTAATTAAAAAGACTAATGATAGCATAGAACAACTCCCTTGGAGCTCATTATATAATATATCTCAAAAGAAACTACTGGCTTTGTGAAAAACTCTTACTGATTATCTAGATAAGAGTTTTATTAGAGTGAGCAACTCTCCTACAGCTACCTCTGTATTATTTGCAAAGAAGTCTGAGAGTAAGCTAAGATTCTGTGTGAACTATTAAGCTCTTAACAAAATCATCTGAAAGAATTGATATTCTCTATCATCAATCAGTGAGACTCTACAGTGAATTGAATGAGCTAAATAATTCACTAAGCTGAACATTATTACAGCTTTTCACAAGATTCAATCATGGAAGGTGATGAGTGAATGACAGCCTTTAGAACCAGATACAGGCTATTTGAGTGGCTAGTTACACTCTTTGATTTGATTAATGCTCTGAGCATGTTTCAAAAATATATCAACTGAGCATTATATAAATATTTAGATGACTTCTGCTCAGTCTATTTAGATGACATCTTGATATTTTCCTCAAGAAGCTTACAGGAGCATTGTGAGCATGTACAAAAGATGCTTATGTGTTTAGAAGAAGCAGGCATGCAGGCAGATATCAGAAAGAATGAGTTTGAAATGAACAGCATAAAATATCTTGAATTCATCATTGAAGCAGGCAAGGGTATATGAATGAATTCAGAGAAGATTAAAGCTATTTTGGAATAGTGACACCTACTACTTTTAAGAGTATATGAAGATTTTTAGACTTTGCCAATTTCTATAGATGATTCATCAAGGATTTCTCAAAGATCATAACCTTACTAATAATTCTTACACACAAGAATATTCTCTTTTTGTGGATGAGCAAGGCTGAGAAAGCTTTTAAGTGTCTAAAATCAATGTTTATCTATGCTCTAATCCTGCTTCAATTTGACTCTGACTATGAGACTATATTGAAAACAGACTTCTCAGATTATGTCTCAGAAGAAGTGCTGCTATAATATGATGAGCAGAGCATTTTACATTCATATATCTTCTTCTTTTGCAAGCATTCACCTGCAGAATACAACTATAAGATTCATGATAAGAAGTTATTAGTAATAATTGAGTGTTTAAAGGAATGAGATGCTGAGCTACAAAGTGTAAAGGAATTCAAGATTCTCACAGATCATAAGAATCTAGAATACTTCATGACTACACACAGACTAAATGAAATACAGCTACATTGAATGGATATTCTCTATCAATTCAACTTCAGAATTGATTACTGATCAAGGAAGTTGAATGCTGGACCAGACACTCTATCACAAAGAGAGCAGAACATGCCACAAGGTGCTGATGATGAGAGAATCAAGCAGAGGCAAGCTCAACTACTTAAGTTTAATGTACTGGCACTTGAAATGGAATCAAGAGTGGCTGCTGCCAGTGTGAAACCTGAGATGTCTCTTCAAGCTCAGTGAAATAAGGCTCACAAAAATGATAAGATTCTGCAGTGTCTGAAGCAGACTCTTTATGAGAAAAGATTCAAATTTTTTTTTGAACTCAGCATTAAGACCTTTGTCTCTAAGTGCTCTTTAAATGAGAATGGAGAGCTTCTCTTTTGATATCATAAGTGAGTACCAGACTTCAAACCTCTTCAAACCAGGTTAGTGCATAAGGCTCATGACTCATCTCTTACTGGTCATCTTGGGTGAGAGCAAATAGCAGGAGTTCTAATATGTAAGTTCTACTGGTCAGGCTATGCTGCTGATATGAGAAGAATGATTAAAAACTATCATCTTTGCAGATCAAACACTGCATGAAGAGATTGATATTAGAGACTGCTTAAGCCTCTCTTCATTTCTGAATGCATATGATAGAAGCTTTCTATAGACTTTATTGTAGACTTATCAAGCTCTAAAGAATATATAAATATCATAGTTATAATAGATAGACTGATCAAGAAGATTATATTAAAAGCAGTTAAGAAAACTGATGTAGAGACAATGACTAGAGTGTTTCTTTGCAACATCATTCCTCAACATGGCATCTCTAAGGCAGTTGTATCAGATTAAGAATCAGCTTTCACAAATATATTTTGAACTCAGATGTGTGAGATATTAGACATTAAAAGATGACTCTTCATAGTCTATCACTCAGAGACTGATGGAGTTACAGAGTGAATGAATCAAATTCTGAAAATCTACCTACACAAGTATATTAGCTTTCAACAGGATGACTAGTGTAAATGACTCCCTCTGACAGAGCTGATCATCAATAATAGAGATGCTGCCTCAACAGATATAAGCTCATTCTTTTTAATACATCTTTTTCACATCTTCTTCATTGATATAGTCAATGCACTCTCTGTTGAAACATCACATAATCTCATTGAGTTTGCAAATGATTATATGAGAAAGACTCACAAAGTGTTAAAGTGAGCTCAAGTAAAAATGACAGATGCTCAGCAATCTCAATAGAACTATGTGAATAGATGAAAAGACTCAGCTTCAAGCTTTTAATCTGAAGATAAGGTCTGGTTGAGCTTAGAGAACATGAGAATTAATCATCTGTGCAAGAAGCTGAATGTGAAATACAATCAATATACTATGCTAGAAAAGATAGAATTTCATACTTACTGACTGAATATCTCACTCAGCATTCATAATGTCTTTAATATAAAGCTTCTACATATGACATTGATAGATTCTTTGCCTAATCAGAGGCAAACTGACTGGCAGCCATTCACTATAGAGATCTCAGAAGAACCTGAGTTTGACATTGAGAAATTTGAGATGAACAAATCTATCAGAGAAAAAAATAATACCTTGTTAAATAAGTAGATTAGACTGAGTCTACATGAAATGACATAAGTCTCCTACAAGAAGTGAAGACTTTGAACACTTGGGAGGCCTCTCAGCAGGCAAAATTAGATGTAAAGAGGGCTTTAAATAGTTGTAAAGACCTGCAACAAAGAGGGAGAAGAGAGGTATTATAAGAGGCTGAACTATTAGATTCACTCTGACTGACTAACTCAGCCAAGTCATCATTTGCACATGCGCACATGATCATGCTATGTGAGCTTGCTTAAGCTCATGTTCTCATCTCATTCTTTTCTTTCCTTTCCCAAGCAATTTGTCCTTGTTATATAGAAAGACTAGCCTCTAGTTCTTAGAGCTTAATTCTATACAATAAGAACTTCAGAGACTATCTATCTGATCAGACTATCAGATCATCAGACTTAATTGAAATAGATGATGAGAATAAATGAGAAATAGATTGTATACTGGCCAGTTGAATAAGCTGAAGCAAGCTGCAGTATTAGATGCATTAAAAGAAGTTTGATGAGAATTCTTCATGATATATTACTCATAACTTCAAGAAATCATCATATATAATATAAAATTTCTATAAGGCCAACTCTACTAAAGCTGAATCACTGAAATATTTAGATGAATGAGTAAGAGCATGAGAGATGAGCAGCTATCTGAAAGATAAAGATGATGATGATCTTTCAGCATGAGAGCATGCCTGTTTCTAGATCAGAGGGTGATATTAGACTCAGCACTGGGGCTAGATTTATCTCCATCACATAACCATACCCCACATGTAACCTAGTGAATCAGTTGTGATCCAGTCACGTGATCATGTGGGCTGTTATAATATGAGCAGACCCTGACATCTCTTTTTCCTCACCAATCTTAGAATTTTGTTACAAAGCAGTTAGCAACACAGAGAGTTTCCTTCTTATGCAGCTCACATTCACTCTCTAACATTATTAATGAATCTCAATTTATTAGAAATTCTACATACTCTAATGAGTATATAGATAATCTTTAAATTATAGATAGATATGATGTTGATCATTAATTAATTTTGAAGATTGATAATTCTAGAAGATTTTTGTTACAGTGATATTTTCTTTACAGTGGGGCGCACTCACTAATGGTGAGTGCGCCTGGCACAGTTAGAAGTCATTAAGTTCATACACTGAAAGGAGATTGTGAAGTTGAGAGAAGAAGTGATTTTTTCTCTTTCAATACCTTCATTTTAACTGATTTTTCATGGTCGTGTTTTTCCTGTTGATTTTGTACCTGTACTTGGCAGTAGGCCTATTATTGTAAATAGTATCGAGTACTCCTACTATGGTGAGTTGGGAGTGTCGAACACTTCCGTCATGTGACCTGTTTTCTACCACGTAGTCGTTCTTGTAGCGTGCAAACTCTGCAATCAATCAAGCTTGTCACTCTGTCAGAACAAGACCTTTCGGCACATATCCAGCATGTTGACTCAAGCGGCAAATGAACCCTCAACTGGACCCAATTCTCCCAAATCCCAGAGCTTTCATACTCAATAGGCATCCTGATGAGTTAAGGCCGGTTCAGCTAGGTACAGGGCAGCTGGTAATAGTTCGACAGCTCTTCCAGAACTTCCGGTCCGGGAAACGTAGAAACAAACTAATTGCACAACCAGTCATTAAATATTATTCCCGTAGTCCGAAATGCAGGTTCCTCTTCGTTTTGGGACATCTTTCAAAATTCGATTTTAACCAAGACCAAGATATGCCAAAACCCTGTCGACGGAGATGGGATCGGCCAGCTGAAATAAACTCCAGCTCGTTTAATTCACGGAGAGGGCAACGAGAATACCAGTGGAAGGCGGATGTATTCATTGACCAAGTCTTCGATGACGCCTCGATAGAGAGTATATCTCCACTCGTTCACATGAGAATTACATTGAAGACTGAGACCCTCAATCCTTGTTTCTAACTTTTTCTCTAAGCTCTCAGCCTAACGCAGTCTGGAAAACTGTCTTTGAAGAAGTGCTTGGGATTTTTAATCATGCCAGTACGGAGTAAGCCTGTAGCTTTTATCAAAAACGTAGATAAACTACGAAAAGCTAGCCACATTATAGCGATGGTTAAATCTACAGCGATACGGAGTGCTTGGCTATCTGGTTAAGCACAACTATCTAAAGTCCTCGCAATTCGGATGTTAATACGGAGTATTCCGTAACGTAATAGTTCACATTAACTAAGGAACCGATGAGATCCATTATATTTAGTTCCATTGGTGCATGGTTATAGGAAAACGCCAGCCGATACTCCGATATACAGGATATATCACACTTCACATTGTACTGAAATTATAACAAAAGCGAACATCATTTCATGGAAAACTTATGAGTCTTCGATAGAGCGATGTAAATGCGACACAAGCGCCCGTGGCGGTAACAAGACAAAAAAACAAAAAAAAAAAATACAATAAGGAGTAGGAAAAGCAACAAAATATTATGAAGAAAAAAAATCCGATATACGCTCGCAGGAACTGGACGCAGGATGGAATGGACGATGGGTGGAATTTGCTTGCGAAGGTTGAACAACTGACAGAATGGAGGCAACAAAAAAAGGAGGAATATGCGAAAAAGAACACACACCGAGAGAAGCAGTCGAGTCAGCGAAGAAAAGAAAGAATGCAGAAAATGCAACCTTGGAAAGAACATTATTCTTCCTTCTTATCAACGTACTGTACATAACAAACATAATAAACCCATCCCGTCTCCTCGATGATTGGACCCAGGCCGACCTAAAAAGCCTCGTTTCTCACCTTCGTTAATAAGACAGGATCGGTGGTATAGATGTCGACAACTAAACACAATTAGAGATCCATTATCATGTCCCGGGTGTTGCTGTTCTTGTTGCCCAGGAATATTCATATTATCTCGCCCGCTGCGATCAAATACTGGCGGCTGATTCGTGTTTTTACCAGGGGAGTGAGGATCTGCACTGTCACCTGACATTGGTGCCTTGCCCTTCACCCTTGAAGGAACGTTCTGACTTCCAACCAAGTCAAGGCGCCTTGCGTACCCACGCTTGGCGTCATCATCCTGTTTATGTTCCCAAGCTTCCCATAGCCATGCCCCCGATCCAGGTCCCCACACTCGCCGTCGACATATTTCACACACTTGCCCTCGCGGCCTCCACCCTCTTTGGCGAAGTTTGGCAATTTCATCTACATGCACAAAAAGGTCCCTATCCAGCATTGCATTGGCCAGGGTAAGAAGAGATTCCTCGTAGGTATAGGCTGAAAATATCGACGCGATCACGGAGCGAAGTTCCGAAAGTGAAGGTGAAGCGGCGGCTACTCGTGTGAGAAACGCTCGCAACACACGCAAGAAAGAGATGTCAGTTTTTTCGCTGGGCCTATCGTTGGACTTTGTCGTGCTGTTCAACAAGGCTGTAAATACTTGCTGAACAAGAACCCGAAAGGAAGAAGAAATTTCTCCAGGTTGAGCACTATCAACCTCCAAAATTGGATCATCCCGTTCGAAGATGGGCAAGGATTTCCTCAGCAATGGTGACATATTGCGTGCTATGCGAACCACAACTTCAATAAGATCGAGCCACAGATTCTCTTCAAATGATAGAGGCTGTTTGAGGATTGCCAATCCCGTTTTGCTTAATTTATTTGGCCCTCGAGATTTCCTGGCTATTTTCGATTGTTGTTGGCAAAGCCAAATTCCAACACGAGTATAGTTACCTAATGATTGGATGAGGTCGGCCACTGCTTCTGCCATGCTTGCGGAATCAGGGCTTTCGTCCGCATTTTGCAACAGCCCTGACAAGCCAGCCTCAAGGGTTCCGATGTGCTTGACAAGCCGGCCCATTGCAGCACGCACTTCCCCTTGACGAGCCAAGAGGATTATTGCAGCATCGATAATCCCACCACTTTCCATTGAAGGGAGTACTGCACTGAGTTTGAGATCGCCAACTTCTAGGATGTCCACGAAATCTGAGACGTGTGAAGAGTCATATCGGCACATAAGTTGTACATAGCGCTCAACGAGTTGATGATCAAATTTCGCCGCAAGCCTAGTCTCAGCAGTGTGTTTCCGCTCTGGCTCGAATAAAGTATTGAGATATGAATATTGTCGGAAAGGATCTTCCTGAAGGACGTGAAGAAACTCTTTATGTAAATCGGGGGCCACTTCCTGGACGGTCTGAGCAGCTTTTTTGACATCAATGTTCGCGATTTCTGAGGCGTGATCCTTCACCACAGCAAGCACCTCACAACGCTGTTTCTTGCTCAATTTCGAGCTCGGACGGAGGCAATCATGGATGCAACCGAAGATCGACTGTTGGTTTTCTGGGTCCTCAAGATAAGTCAATAGAAGCTCAGGAAATTGTTTCTCTGCTTTATAGGTGGATTTCAAGACCCGGTAAAATTTCGCTTGCTTTAACAATGGAATTAAAGCTTGCACATCCGGCGGGTGGTAGATCGACAATAGATATTCCGCACTGAGCTGACAATCACCTATCATTTCCGGATTAGGGTAACGACATAATCTCAAAAGCACTTGTTGAAGGGTAGATCCTGATAAAAGGGTATACTGAGGATATTTCGGTAGATTCCGGGCAATAAACATGTCGAGATAGATGGTGTCTTCTGGGCCGAATTTAGGAGATTCCATAACTTCAAGTAAAATGCTAATTAGATATTGGCGGTTAACAGACAGGCCCGATGCAAATGAATCACAAGAAGCCGTTGTCACCACTCCGTTGCTGGCATGATCAACAGTGTCATTTAAAAAGCTGTCTTCAAAGGCTTCGTTAAGCATGCTCATGAAACTAGGCGTATCGAATTCGAGGATAGTTCGAAGGTCGGAAAAGAAGTCCTGGGAAGTGCCCTTTTTGGAATTTGATGAAGCCTGAGTACTGCCCGAGAAGAGAAATTCATAAATCCCTGCTTTTGCTCTAGAAGCTTCAACATCAGGCATGTCTTCCCCGGTAGGGTAGATTCTTCCAGTTAACACATATGAAAGGTAGGGAAACATCTTCATCACATTTGAATGGTCCCTTGTTTCCACACCACCATTCTTATTCACAGTTCGGCAAGTGTGGTGAATCAAGTGGATGAGTTCAGTAAGTGGTCCGACATAATCGCCTAATGCACGAGTCCACACATATATAAATGCGTCATATAGATTATACTGCTTACAGAGCGAAGTAACCTGGTCAATATCAATCGTTGATGTATCAAGTAGACAAATGATTTCTTCCAAGCGATTGGTGTTATGGTTCGTTGCGTAGTGGGTGATTAATGACTTAACAGCGGTGGGAGGCAAAACCCGAACACTGCCTTGAATGATGTAAGGTTCAAGGATGTCCAAGAATAAGCCTTCGGAGCCATATTCTTCATACCAGCTATAAACTTCGTCGAAGAGAAAGGTGTAATCCGACAACGTATCACATGCTGAAATACAGGAATCGGCCAGTTCCTGCAGCCGGCTCGACTGAATATGCTCGTTGGTTGCTTCCTGGTTTCTCCCAAATACATATTTGACGGATGCTGACATCATGTCCAACAACTTTTCATGCACTAGCTCATGCCGTAAATCATTCTCTTCAGGGAGTCCCACAGTGAGCTTTTCAGTATCGCCTCTGTAATAAGCGGCTGCCAATCGGATGGCCCCAATGTAGTCACCGCCTTCCATAAGGGCCAGTAATCTGTCAGCCCAGTTTGAAAGGCATCCAACTGACATGTCATTGACGCCAAGCAGGAACAGTCGACCTTTATATGCTCGAAAACTCATGTAAAAAGAATCCGCAATTACTCCGTGCATTGATTCATCCTCCTCATCATGCTGCTCAACTAGGGAGTGAAGCTGTTTCGAAAAGATATCCACGTGATAGATATGTTTGTGTATGAGGTCGAAGGAGTCTGTAAGTCGTAAAGTGTTGTCTTCCAAGATCAGGAGTTGCTGAGTTATTGTCATCACTGCGAGCACCGAGCGACTTATCCACTGTACGGCCACAATTGCCTCTTCAGCTCTCCACCTACTTCGAGGTCTAAATTCGAAGCTGGGAGGTTTGTCTCCGTCTGCAGGTTCTGCTACATTCAATTCTGAAACCTCCAATACTGTAAGTACATTCGACCAACAATAAACCAATTTAGATTTCGAGGTTTCCGAATTCTTCCCCTTCAGTTTGATGGCTGGAAACCAAGCAAGCGCAGCCGTAAGCGCACTGTGAGCCACAACTTCCTTTGGTCGAATGGCTTTATACTGAGTTTGTGCAACGGGAGTTGTCGACACAATCACTAACAGGTACGGCGTGAGCATGGCAACTAGCCCAATCGAGTCCGTTGCTTGTTCAACGTTGCCCAGTGGGAGAGGAGAAAACGCAAGAACAGAGCTCGGCTTTCGAGGTCGGCCACCGCCAATAACAGCACTAGGGTACCGTCCCAGAATCCGCGTGGTTCGCACTACACGGCCAACAGCTCCCATACCTCGAGTAGCAAGGTGCGAAAATGCCATGCCATGATCGTCAGCAGAGACCAGTGCGGTATGCCTTGTTCCCAAAAAGCCAATGTGGACAACAGCAACGCCGGAGATGTGACCATTGGATCGCCTGGATTCCATCTGGCCAGCTGATATCGGTTGGATGTGTAGAAATAGGCGCGCAGATTTTGCAATTTCCCAAGTAAAAATATGGCCACCTCCATGGCCAGCCGCAATTGTAGTATGGTCAGCGGATATGGCGAGAGAGGTGACCGGACCACACTCTATAGCTATGTACTATCAGTTCTCGTAATAGGAAACATAGCAGTTTTTTTTTGGAGGGTGGAGGAAATAAAAAATACCTTTTGTTCCAGGACCGATAATCGTTTTAAGATTCTGCTGGTAGTCAAACACTAATATGATTCCCTTGGCCGTCCCGATCACAATTGTGGTAGAGACAGCGATGCACGTAGGTTGGCCGAAGTTCCGTTTGCCCACCTCAGAAAACGCCTGGCCAGTTATTTTCCGAAGTTTCGTCCATCGAACTACTTCCCAGGGCACTGCAGGGCTTTCTGGAAAATCCGGAGTGCTGGAGAGAATTTGACTGGCGAAAGAGGAGTGTCGCGAATGGGGTGCATTAACCGAAGGGGAACTTGGCCGCAGCGCGCTAGGCAGCGACACTGAAAGACGGGATTGAAATCTACGATCAAACGGGCGATGGCGGCTGGGGCTGAGATTGGAAGGAGAACCGTGCAGGCCAAAAGCACTACTCCTCGAGGAAATCATAGAACCCTAACTAGTCAGCTGTTGTTTCGGGGATTTGAAAGACACGGGAAAATCGAACGCAACGTACTTGAACTGACGGGGAGTCATCCGGTATTGATCTGGAATGATTAACACTCCCAGTTTCCCTAGTCCTCTGATGTTGATGTTGATGTGTTGACTCTTCCCCGGATCCATCTTGAAAGGCAGAGCCCAACTCCGCGTCAGCACAGTCTCGACTACTGGTCGCTGATAGCGGGTTATCATCTAGGAATGCATCCTGACCGGGCTCTGCTTCATATTCCTCCCCCTCATCACCCGTATTGATGACATGTCCATTTGGCGTTGGGGAGAGGTGTTCGTGGTCACTGTTCTCCAGCTGTGGTTCATCCTCTCGAGCCCCATCGTCCACCCCCTCAGTTATGGAGCTCATGGGTTGTTTTGTCGAATGACCATCGTTTTTTTTTTCCTTTTTTTTCCCCTTTTTTTGCTCTCAGGCGTACAGAACCCGTATCGGGAATTCCAACGGGAAATGAGATAGTTGCAGGGCAAGAAGTCGCGGACGTAAAGAAGAGCGTCGGCGTAAAATACGATGGGGTGTGGCTCGAGAGTTACTTCGCTGGTGTGGAAGGTCAAACTGAAACTGGGTGGGCTGCCCTAAGACAGTCGCTTGAGAGAGGATATTTCGATATTTCGGGGGACAAGGAATCTTCCAAGGAAGACGGAAGCATGCAGCACATTGACGTCAAATCCAAAGGCTCATCATATGAACTAGCTGAATTATGAATTGCTGGTCAACGTTTCGTGGTGAAAGCGGAGAGAGAAGCACAAGTGTTTTGCGAGATAAGGCGCGTCGGGTTGGGTAAGCAGTTAGTTAATTAGTATTGACCTATTTTAGCTTAGTTACAACCTCATCCGTTGAGCCTTAGTAGGCATCTCACGTGAACACAGCCCGTGCATTTTACTTCCGGGTTTTTAATTCCCAATTTCTCTATCATTAATATGCTGGGCTGGGAGGTTGCGTTTTAAAAATTAAAAGCAGAGTTTGCTGCCTCGATATTTTCTTACATATCTTCATCTTCTCTTGACACATCCCTCCCCTGCGTGCAGCTGTTTCAGATAATTATTCTTGTGCAGTCCTACGCGACTGCATCTATGAAAGCCCTCCAACGAACCCAGTGCCTTGGAGAAGAAAGACTTTAGCTTCTGCCTCGACGGCTTTATGGACCGTGGTTTGTGCACTGTCCAAGCAGCATGGGAAGCATGCCCGGCCCCATCCCTTTGTTATATAAAGTGAATATCCGTTAGTCGGTGGATCAGGTGCCACCCGGGGAAGGGCGCCTAGCCCGTGGGGTGCGGACATGGGCGGGGAATGCAGGATGTTGATCTCCTCCGCTTATACATGGTGCTACCACCTCGGGCTCTATCGGCCTTATAGGATTGTCACGGCTGAAGGCAGGAGATGACCCGCAACAGATCCCGTGCTTCGTGATACCGACTGCTGAACGGCCGCCCTGGGCATATGGCGTTGGCTCCTCCCTTCCTTGGAGTTGGAGCGATCCCCCATATGTTCTATACACACTATACGTGGACTGGTGTCCATTGGATGTCCCATACGGATGGGTACGTTATATACCTCTTCTGGACCTAACGTTTTGCGCATCTCCATACATATCACATTGCAAGCTACATACACTCGTTTTCGTTTTTAGCTTTTTTTAACTTCCTAGTTAGTTATAGACTATCATACGTCTCCAGATACAGCTTCTCAAGATACCGCCCGGCAAGGCTTCCTAGGTATTATCACGCTTGTTGAACACCCGGGCCACTACACCCGCTCCACCCGCTCCACCCAATAGCACATCCTGTCGGCATGCTATTCTCCCTCTACGCCCTACTGATGCTTACCCTGCCACTATGCCTGCTTGCCCAAACCGTATGCAATGGTCATCCTGAATACTGCAACCGTCGCTACACAGACGTGTCCTTTGTCGGAGCTCACAATTCACCTTTCGTGGGCTTCCTACCACAGCACAACCAGGAGATATCTGTGATTAACCAATTAAATCTTGGCATCCGTTACTTACAGGGCCAAACACACCTGAACGCGAGAGGAAAACTGCGCATGTGTCACACTTCATGCTTTCTAGAGAATGCGGGCGGCCTCGATGCGTATCTAAAAAAAGTGAAGTCATGGCTCGACGACAATTCGGACGAAGTGGTCACGCTACTAATTACAAATGGAGACGTGCTGGACGTTTCCAGATTCGACGAAGCGTTCGCGAAAAGTGGCATTGTCCCTTACGCTTTTGTTCCGCCTTCTTCTCCCCATAGACTCAACATGGACGCATGGCCGACTCTGGGGCAAATGATTCGGTCTGGGAAACGCCTTGTCGTCTTCTTGGGTTAGTGTTTGGTGTCCTGTCCCCCTGTCCTTACCTTCTCCTTCTGCCCTTGGGCGAAGGAGATTTTTGCATTTCTAACTGGTGTATGAACGTACCAAAATATATCTATATATATATGTAGATTACGAGGCCAACACGAATAGGTTCCCGTATATTCTCGACCAATTCACTTATTATTGGGAGACGCCGTTCGATACCACCGACCCGCTATTCCTGCATTGCAAAATCGATCGTCCCCCAAATGCAAACCCGGATGGAAGAATGTATATTATGAACCACTACCTGGATATAGAAAGGATTGGTCTTTTGTTTCCTGATCGGTTCTCCGCACCCAGAACCAATGCAGCAACGGGAAAAGGAAGCATCGGGGCGCAGGTTGAGCTATGCACGGCAATGCATGGACGCAAGCCCAACGTCGTTCTGGTTGACTTTCTCAATCAAGGAGATGTGCTTCGAGCGCAGGATATGATGAATGGGGTTTAAAATTATCCTTTCCCCCCGGTTTTCGGAAAGTTCCCCCCACTATCATATGGATTGGCTGGCTTGTTCATATTCGTTTTCAGAAGTGATATCCCGTTTTCCCTGCTTAAATTTAGCAATCGTGTTAGTCTCTAGGTAGCATCTGTATGGGCACGATAAGCATTTGCTATTGTGACCTCCACTGTCAACGTTTGCATTCTTATCATCATCAATAATATTGGTTCCACCCTTGGCGCTTTTGCGAGTCTCCTTAAAGCAACAGTTGTGGTTTAAGGTTTCACATCCTCGACCATTCATAGGCAAAAATATCCCAAGGTTCATCATTTTTTCATTACTCACTTACTTGAAAAAGGTTTCGTGGTATCTGACGTGCTATTTAAATGCATTCATTATGTGTATATCTGTGGTCCGTAATACATAGAACGAATAACAGGGAGGTTAAACTTGGACCTACATACATACATACATACGTACGTACGTACGTACCATGCGGGGCGCTTTAGAAATATTTAAGCTTATTTTAGGTCCCGCTGTTTGTTTGAGTTTCCGCTCGGACATTCGGAGCGTTCAACCGTTAGACTATAATAACCAGTTAAGCAGTTCCAGAACCTGACTGCTAGATGGCTAGTCATCTTGCAAAGATGTTAGCTAACTATTGTTGGGAAACACAAAGCCCATAGGGTATTTGAGTAATCATCAGCCGATCCTTAGTTACTTATTCTGCTATTCAATTTACAGACAGTACTTCAGATTAACGCTCTGCAACCACCCACCCACCCTGTTTCCAGCAACCTTGCATAGAACAGCCCTGTCCTCTTGATAGGTCAACGTCCCGTTCTCGAGGTCGGTCTCTCCGCTAAATATTTCACCCCAAAGTCGCCTTGATATTTACTTGCGCATGTATCACTTGCCCATGCATGCAACTCGGGAACCTCTCTTAGAAACGCTGATTGACAGACCGCATTTGCAATAACGAGGCAATCAAATAAACCATTTTATGCTAAATGCTATTAAATAACCTCCCCCGTTTATTGGCGGTTAGCAATCCATCTACTAAGAAATTGGGCTTTTGATCCTCTTTCTTACTCTCTTTCCTTTTAGTTTCCTATTTTTAACTCTCTCTATACTCGCTCTCTCTGCAACGTTTTTCTTTGCGTTCTCTAACCCATAATAACATGGGCTTACACTGGAGTTTGGTGCATGTACGGTGAATTTCATACGTACACAGGCCTTCTCATTTAACTGCTACGTATTATACTGTTGAACAGGAATCCCTAAAAACAATTGACACGCACATCTGAGGTAGAGGCGTAGGTTTACGAGATAAAAGGAGATAAATATCCCTCCTCCTCGATTTGGCGGCTTGGTCGCTCACTTCTCGTCCTTTATGCGCCCGCTCTCTCCCCAAGGGACATCCCACTCTTTCAAATCCTCTCTTCCTCCTCCTCTTCTTCTTCCCCCCTCTCATTATCCAAGCCAACCTATCCCTACTACGGTTTTTGCACAGTACCAAAAAAAACCAATTAAAATAATATAACCCCCTTCCCGCACCAAAAATGGTCAACCTTCTTCTCCCTCCCTCTTCTCCTCACAGCCTCACAACTCTCACCTTAACCTCCACCATCCCCCTTCAACATCGCACATTCCCCAACACCCCCAGCCCCAGCGGGGCACATACACTCCTCTCCTCCATTACGTGGGCCCCCAAGGCCCCCAAGACGGCTATAACCGCACTTCATTCCCGCATTAGATCACCATAAAAGGCGCATGCAACGCCCGCGAGACCGTGTTGAAGCGGGATGGCAGAGACGTGGGAATTGGCGCTGACTGCTCTGCAAAGTCTGGGTCGTGGTATAGTGTCTATGATGGTGTGACGTGGACGAGGGCAAGCGATGTGGACATTGACCATGTCGTGCCGTTGAGTAATGCGTGGAAGAGCGGGGCGGATAAATGGACAACAGATACGCGAAGGAGCTTCGCGAATGACTTGGAGAATCCGCAGTTGGTGGCTGATACTGATAATGTGAGTGTTTTTTTCCCAATTTGTTTGGGCATGATTGCATATGTATATATCCTGTTCCATAGGTTTTTACTAAGATGTTTGTGCTTTGTGTGTAGGTTAATCAGGACAAGAGTGACTCGGGTCCTGAGAAATGGAAACCCCCGCTTGGTGAGTTAATTCTCGCCTTTGTGTCCTTGATCACTCCCCTTCTACCTTTTTAATGGAATACAAATCACGTCCATTTATATTAAGTAAATTATAACTCCTATAAACAGCATCCTACCACTGTGAGTACGCCTGCATGTGGGTAAAAGTCAAATTCGTCTATGATCTGACGGTCACCCGGCACCAAGAAATCTGCGTTAACTGATATGTTGGGTACTTGCTGATGATTCCCAGTGCTTCTTTGACGTTTTGCAGCAGTCTTTTCCTATGGTTCAATATATACAACTACATATTTTCATTTCTAGAGACGATTGCTTGCACTGAGAAAATGGCTATCAGGTGAATTGACGGCTATGGCCATTGATGCTCAGTGAGGTAGTTATACGAACATTTGGTTCGTGATTTCTTCATCGACATTTCCTAGGCTGTATAACAGGGTTTTTACATTGTTCTACTCCATTCTCTCCCTGACATTCTTCGTAAATCAGGAAAAGAGAAGTCAGCAGAGAAGCAAAAGGAGCGAATTTTTAACGTTTCAACAGTATGAAAGCTGGGTTTTAACAGACAAGAAACTACTAACATAAAGCCTAAATTTTATTCACTTAGGGCATAAAGTATTGATACTCTGCCTCTCTTTGGTATTACTTTACCAATATAGGAAATCAGTGAAATAAAAGGAAGAACAAGAAGCAAGAGAAAGAGTAGCAAAATACAAAAGAAAAAAAATCATACATTATACATATAAAAAAAACTCGCAAAACACAGTCCCAATTCTATGTATGATATCCATAATCCAGTCAAACCAATTGAACACCTAAAAAAAAAAATGGATTAAAAACATATTTATTTTTCTGGTATACAATGTGTGTTTACCAGTTCAGTTCCATAACCCAGGTGATTATTTGCAACAGCACCCTGTTTAAAAATAGATAAAAAAATTAAATAAAAAATTAAAGGTTAAGAAAAAGAGAGTTTGCACCAGCATGTTAGACCAACATGCAAAAAAATAAAGAAAAGGGCTAAGATCCTGACAGACAAACAAACAAGTACAAGCCCTAAGAAAGTAAATTCTTAAGAGATGGACTTGCGCTAGCCCCTGAACCCGACCCCGACCCTGATCCAGCTACGGGTCCATTTACACCATGGAATCGCCCAGAACTACTCGGCCTAACAGGTGCCGGGCCGGGGCCGCTGCTGTGCGCAATGTTTTCATCACCGGCGGCAGGTGTAGCTGGGCACTGCGGGTCAAGGTTGCGGCGTGTAGAGGAAGGTGATGGATGGCTCGGAGCAATGGAGCGCTCGACTGAAAACATACGGGGACCGGGTGGTGGAAGTGAGCTCAGAGTATGTGGCGGGGAAAATTGTGAGGCTGGCGGGGATGTGGTGGTGGTATATGGTCGGCTCGGTTGAGGGGAATGTGGTGGTGGTAGGGGGACGGGGCTATAAGGACTTTGATGGGCCGAGAAGGTATGGGGGGGTGGAGGGGGAGGGACGTTGTTTGTATAGTGCTGTGGAGGTGGGGCCTGGTGGTGTGGTTGGATAGAAGGATGATAACCGTTCAAGTGAGGTGGCGGAGGTGGAGGTGGAGGTGGAGGAGCACCATGGAAGCTTCGTGGTCCGAGTGACTGGAGGCCGTTGGACGGGGGACCACCAGCTGGTATGCCATTGAGCATGAGAGAGGGCCCATAGTCGTTTGATTGTTGCTCGTACTCCGGACGCCAGTCTGTGGAGCTATGGCCGTGGCCGTGTATTGGGACGATGGGGGGAATGGGTAGATTTGGCTGCTGGGGTGTTGGGTGGGCATGTGGATGTGGCGACGGGGAGTATCGGTTGTTAGGGAACTCTGAAGCACGGGCCGCAGGAAGACTGGGATCACGTTTAGCCGTGTATGGGGAAGGTCGCGCTTCGGATTCTAAGGGCGATGCCGACAGCTTTTTGACATGGCATTTGTGGCATTCGTGCAATGTCCTAGTAGGATTTGGATGACATGGCAGTGAGCCTTGATGTGACGTAATCATGCGGTCTGCATCGGTCAGAGCGATGTCTCCATTCATTATGGATGGTGTTTGATATGGGGATGCCGTAGTTGGGACCGCATGGGAACCGTCGATTTGACCAACACCGTTCATCAATAGACGACTGTCCCCAGATGATTCGACTGTCCACCATTTTGGGCTGAATGTTGAGTTGCAATTTACGCAAGTTTTGTTGCCCGCGGTGTTTAAACTCTGGCCGCTGACATCACCTGCGGTGTGATTACTTCCTATACTAGGGGAAGATGATTCCGCTGACACCCTAACAGTTGCATTACTGCTATCCTTGCTCCCATGATGCAGAGAAGCAGTGCCATTTACGGAGATCCGCCGGTTGTGAGCAATGTGCAGGCCGTTTTGAATCGATACCCCAACAGACTGTTGAACATGCGCGGCTTTCCGTACCGTACCCGTCAAAGTGAGATCAGCTTGCTTGGAAGTCTGGCAATAAAGTTGCAATGCATTCAGCCCCTGGATCTCGCTAGGTTCACTCATTTCATGGACAACTGTTGAAATGGTGTGGTGGGGGCACCAAATCGCAGGCGTGACAGCACCAGCCTCATCACCTAATTTCATCATGTGAACAGCATCGCGTCGACTGCTTTTTACCGGAGTAATATCGAAACCAAAAATGTAACCAGACTGATGCGCACATCCAACATGAAACCGCGCATTGCAAGAAGTGTTGTGACAAGAAACACAAGCTCCTTGCCGCGTCTTGCAGATTTTGCAAATGTCCTGATACCTTTCAGCTGGTACTAGGCCTAACCCTTCAGCCGGCTCCAGCTCCTTTGCGTTTCCAAACTTTATCTCAGGCATCCAAACTGCACAGGTGACATGAACCCAATTATTACCAGCGGTTCGTTTGAGCGGCTCGCGTGGACCCGTCGGTTTACCAGCCTCCTTTTGCCGTATCTTGTAAAGCTTGCTAGCTTCCGCCACCATCTCCTTCTCCAGCCGCTCCTTTTCACGCTCACGGTCTGTTTTCTTTTTGTGTGAGACCCTGGGAGGTTCCATTAGCTCATGCTCAGTGTACGTAACCGGACACAGAACGCATTCATATGACGTGGAAATAACGGGATTCCTATCGTTTGAACACATATCACAGAACCATTTCGATGAGTTCCACGAAGGGTTCACGCCGTAGCACGCTCGATGAACGGTCAAGCGGCAATCGCGACAGGATAGATGCTGATCGCCCATGGGATCCATTTTGCTGCACACCGCGCACGGAAGTGTCTTCACCCTTGGTGGCTCGGGTGCAATTGGTGGTGGTTCAGCGGGTTTTTCAACCACCTTCTTTTTCGGAACAGGATCTGCGGGAGTATTGGTGGCCTGAGCGTTACCATTCTGGTCCAATGATGATTTCGCCTTTTTCCTAGGTGGTTCCGAAGGGGGTGGTGGGACGTTCACATCCGCAATAACGGGAATTCCCATCGCAGTAGCTGTCGCTGCGGTCGTGCTGTTGATTTTGACATCTGTTTCCGACGAAGTGAGGAGCTGGACGAGTAGCTCTTCTTCATAGCGTCGACGCCACGACTTGCTGCCCCCCTGTCCAATCTTCTTAACGACTTCGTCCGCATCTTCCCACTGAATACCGTACTTTCGCCAAAGCACAGCACATCGTGAACATATGGCAACAGTGAGACTTTGCACCGCTTTATCACGTTTAAGGTCTACAGGAACAGTGGTACCAGGAGGCGTTCCGGGGGCACGCCTCCATAATCTTGAAGATCTCGTCGAGCAAAATTTGCAAGTGAAGCCCCGTTTTTTGTCCTTGGCTTTCTCATTGTCAAATGCAGAATCATCATGGTCATCTGCGACATCATCAACTAGTTTCACCGCATTATCTGCTTGTTTTGCAGCTTTCTTTCCCCGCCGCCCATCAAAATTGCCCCAGATCTGACGCCCTTTCTCCGTCTTTTTCCACATGTAATAATATCGAACAATGTGACGATGGGGAACGGTGCCGACATGTTTCGTCACATTGCGAAGCTCCGATCCATATTTTGCAACTCCACTCTCAAATGCTTTAATCTCTTCTGGACGGAGATACGGTTCCTTGAGATCTGAATACTTATTGACTCGTTTCAGTTTTGCAAGTGCAGCATCCACATTGAAATTTTCCTCATAGAGGAGAGCAAGAGCTTTGTCCAAGAAATTAGTGGAATACTTTTCCACTTTGAGAGAAGGCGCGATTTCTTTGGCTTTAGCCATATATTCGTCCACAAACTTTTCACGGTCTGTATCGCTTAGTGAAGTTTCAGAGGCATCGTCTTCTCCACGAGATGGAAGTTGTGAAGCTTCGGGCATCTTGAATTCCAATTCTGCGGTGCGAATCTGTTTCCCGTTTACCGTAACCGGTTCATCTTCTCCACGGGGAATATATCCTACAGGTTCATCTTGGATCCATTTTGGCCTCTTAGCTCGTTCTGCTTTCTCCGCCTCTATCGCAGCAACGGCTTCTTTAGAGAGCTTGAGATCCTTTTTATTGTTCGATTTGACGTTCTTTTTTCTCGGTTCAGCAGTTTTGACATATTGAACTGGGTGGCCGTGCCATGGAATAACGTTAGCTTGATGACGAGGACCTATTCGAGAACTTGCACGAGGGTATATCCTGTCGTCATAATCCAAAGCATCTTCTACTCGACAATGTATCCCCAGATACCTAAAAGGCCACAGTTTTGCCTGAGCAATTTGCTCACTGGTGGCGGGTCGAACGATATCAGGTAGAGCAGGGGTGCTTCGCTGTGTGACTTCTGCATGAGCGGCAGGATCCTCCTCTTCTTCCTCGATAACTTCTGGTTCAGTTTCGATTGACGCATCTCCGATGATAGGGGTATTTCTCGCTTCTAGCTTTCGCTCCTGGGCACGACTGCACGCTGCGCAAGCCCACGCAAATCCTCGAGCCGGTTTCTTTTGTAGTACAGGACGTACACAATACATGTGGTAAGTGCTGTGGCATACAGCACAATCAACCGAATCCATGCTAGGTAATAATATTAGCCACTGAAAACGAAGAAAAAAAAGTTATGCAGAAATGGAACAGGGCGAATATTTGCATACTTCGCGGCATATAAACTACATTTTTTGCAGGTTTTAACTGCACTGGTCAGGTCCTTTCTGCGGCCTAACTCAACTAGGACGTATTTCCACCGCTCATCCAGGACCTTCTTGACATGTTGAGGAACATTGATAACCGTAGTTGTAGGGATAACCTCGTAATATCTCTGGATGTACCGATCATACATTTTCTCAAACCAGAAGCAATCCTTGGATTTTCTGAACTCGTCGAGATTTGAGATTTCGGACAGATGTTTAATTTGGCATTTGCCACGCAGTGACGATAAAGGGCAGGTATCCGAGTGCATTGAAGCAAACACGACACGTAGATCGGCGGCTTTACGATGGATGTCCCGTGGTCGGTAATACCAATTAACTCTTATGCTTTCGATAGGCCCATCGGGATTATCTTTGGATGGTAGGAATTCCATAATGCGAGCAAGGTAGTAGGGTTCGCCGGGGGGTTCGCAAACCAAATATACATGGTCTAGCATGGAGACGTTAGAAAGGCCAAGTCAAACACCCAGAGCAAATAAGCAGAGGTAATCACAAAGGGCGCATGAAATTGCGAAGCGGTCTCATATCACAAGATTACTTACCATTTACACTGAGGATCGTGCCATCATCTGCTATCAGCTTTCCCTGTTTTAGATATGCCCGACAGTTATTGAAAGACATCATGTTACGCCCATGAGATTTCCGGTCGTCTGGAGATACATTGGCGAGTGCGATAAACTTCTTAGTGGACGCAGAGGAGGTAGTGTTCGGG